ACGAACTTATAAACTGGCCAGAAAATTATTGCCTTTCTTGTCGTATAAATATCCGTTGTGCAATCGCGAAAAAAAAAAAAAAAAAAAGCATTTGCAACTTGTATAATTACTACCAATTCAGAGTCATGTAGTTATATACCTATTATATCTATGTGACTCTGATGGGTTAGTATTATACCTCTTAAAGAATATCTTATCAATTCACATACACTTTTTAAATTGCACCAAAGTGGTTGGGCCACTTACCTTTTATATCCTACCTCTCCCCCCCCTCCCACCCTTTTCCAATATTTCCATCCTTACCCATCCTTCTTCCTTACCCATCTTACCAAAGCTCTGGTCATCAGAAGAAGAAGGAAGGTTGATGATGGAGGGCGCGTGTCGGGTGTGCGGGAATGAGGAGACGGCGTTTCATGTAGTGTATTTTTGTGATAATTTGGGGAGTATCAGGGAATGGATGGGTAAGGTTCTGAGGACAGTGGGAGGAGGCGGGATATCAGTATTGAGGGCGTTAAGTTTGGACGTGGGAGGCGTCGAGGCGCCTGTGCAACGTGCAATCACGTATATAATTGCGGATTTTGTTTTTGTATCCTGGGCGATGAGAAGAAATGGGGATTGGGAGGTGCGCAAAAGGGTGTTGGCGGGGACCATTTATAGAACGTTGTGTTATAATCGGGAAATATATGGAAGTCGCTGGGACCAGGCTTTTTCAGCAGGGTACCGTAGTATGAGTGTGAGAGCATTGTTTAACGTTGTGAAAGGGGAGGGGGGATTGAATTTCAGGGGATGGAACGGGCTTGTCTCCGGGGTTGGGTATGCACAACGGCTGGTTTACTGTGTATCTGTGTAATGCGTGGTTGAGGTAAATGTGGTTGTGTGAGTGGATGTGGTGGTGAAGTTATATGTGTTATAGATGTCTTAAGTCAGAGTCTACTGCCTTCTTTCTTTGTTGAAGTACTTGATGTACCTTTCGGCTATGGCCTGGCAAACGAGGTTTTATGTGTTTGTACTGAGCATTTTATTGCTATATTATATAATGTGTATAGCCTGTAGATGAGGGCGGAATGCTTATGGCTATTCTAGTTTTGTGGCTAACTCGTTAGACTTGTGGTAAGGCGAGTATGTGTGACTGTAGGGAACTTATGTACTGGGGGGTTAGGTGAGTAAGAGTATGTACATTGTTTTATCATGAGATTGTGATGTAGGTTCCTTCGGTTATCGATTATTTGTGTTGGTTGTGAGTAACCGATATATTTATATATTTATCATAATATTCTTCTTATTGTATTGTATTGTGCATTGGCAATATGTCCCAGTAATATTATGTAAATAGTGTATACCCGAAGGGATCATGGATTTATTTATATTATTGAACCTGCTACAGGGGTCACCTACATGTTATGTTCTTGTTGTTGTTCTTGTGTACATACCTGGAGTTTACCTGGAGAGAGTTTCGGGGGTCAACGCCCCCGCGGCCCGGTCTGTGACCAGGCCTCCTGGTGGATCAGCCCCTGATCAACCAGGCTGTTGCTGCTGGCTGCACGCAAACCAACGTACGAGCCACAGCCCGGCTGATCAGGAACTGACTTTAGGGGGCAGTAAAGCAACAGCAAAGAACTACAGACCAATAGCACTAACATCCCATATCATAAAAATCTTTGAAAGGGTCCTAAGAAGCAAGATCACCACCCATCTAGAAACCCATCAGTTACACAACCCAGGGCAACATGGGTTTAGAACAGGTCGCTCCTGTCTGTCTCAACTACTGGATCACTACGACAAGGTCCTAAATGCACTAGAAGACAAAAAGAATGCAGATGTAATATATACAGACTTTGCAAAAGCCTTCGACAAGTGTGACCATGGCGTAATAGCGCACAAAATGCGCGCTAAAGGAATAACAGGAAAAGTCGGTCGATGGATCTATAATTTCCTCACTAACAGAACACAGAGAGTAGTCGTCAACAGAGTAAAGTCCGAGGCAGCTACGGTGAAAAGCTCTGTTCCACAAGGCACAGTACTAGCTCCCATCTTGTTCCTCATCCTCATATCCGACATAGACAAGGATGTCAGCCACAGCACCGTGTCTTCCTTTGCAGATGACACCCGAATCTGCATGACAGTGTCTTCCATTGCAGACACTGCAAGGCTCCAGGCGGACATCAACCAAATCTTTCAGTGGGCTGCAGAAAACAATATGAAGTTCAACGATGAGAAATTTCAATTACTCAGATATGGTAAACATGAGGAAATTAAATCTTCATCAGAGTACAAAACAAATTCTGGCCACAAAATAGAGCGAAACACCAACGTCAAAGACCTGGGAGTGATTATATCGGAGGATCTCACCTTCAAGGACCATAACATTGTATCAATCGCATCTGCTAGAAAAATGACAGGATGGATAATGAGAACCTTCAAAACTAGGGAGGCCAAGCCCATGATGACACTCTTCAGGTCACTTGTTCTATCTAGGCTGGAATATTGCTGCACTCTAACAGCACCTTTCAAGGCAGGTGAAATTGCCGACCTAGAAAATGTACAGAGAACTTTCACGGCGCGCATAACGGAGATAAAACACCTCAATTACTGGGAGCGCTTGAGGTTTCTAAACCTGTATTCCCTGGAACGCAGGAGGAGAGATACATGATTATATACACCTGGAAAATCCTAGAGGGACTAGTACCGAACTTGCACACGAAAATCACTCACTACGAAAGCAAAAGACTTGGCAGACGATGCACCATCCCCCCAATGAAAAGTAGGGGTGTCACTAGCACGTTAAGAGACCATACAATAAGTGTCAGGGCCCGAGACTGTTCAACTGCCTCCCAGCACACATAAGGGGGATTACCAACAGACCCCTGGCAGTCTTCAAGCTGGCACTGGACAAGCACCTAAAGTCAGTTCCTGATCAGCCGGGCTGTGGCTCGTACGTTGGTTTGCGTGCAGCCAGCAGCAACAGCCTGGTTGATCAGGCGCTGATCCACCAGGAGGCCTGGTCACAGACCGGGCCGCAGGGGCATTGACCCCCAAAACTCTCTCCAGGTAAACTCTCCAGGTGCTTGTCCAGTGCCAGCTTGAAGACTGCCAGGGGTCTGTTGGTAATCCCCCTTATGTGTGCTGGGAGGCAGTTGAACAGTCTCGGGCCCCTGACACTTATTGTATGGTCTCTTAACGTGCTAGTGACACCCCTGCTTTTCATTGGGGGGATGGTGCATCGTCTGCCAAGTCTTTTGCTTTCGTAGTGAGTGATTTTCGTGTGCAAGTTCGGTACTAGTCCCTCTAGGATTTTCCAGGTGTATATAATCATGTATCTCTCCCTCCTGCATTCCAGGGAATACAGGTTTAGAAACCTCAAGCGCTCCCAGTAATTGAGGTGTTTTATCTCCGTTATGCGCGCCGTGAAAGTTCTCTGTACATTTTCTAGGTCGGCAATTTCACCTGCCTTGAAAGGTGCTGTTAGAGTGCAGCAATATTCCAGCCTAGATAGAACAAGTGACCTGAAGAGTGTCATCATGGGCTTGGCCTCCCTAGTTTTGAAGGTTCTCATTATCCATCCTGTCATTTTTCTAGCAGATGCGATTGATACAATGTTATGGTCCTTGAAGGTGAGATCCTCCGACATAATCACTCCCAGGTCTTTGACATAGGGTTAAGATTGCCCATCTTTCTTAATGTTATGTTTTGTCACAAGCGATATTTTCTAGTATATTTGTGTAACCTCTTGTGTTTGTTAATATTGTGTTTGTTATTTGCTATTGTACGTTCTGAGAGATTGTGTATCAAAATGTGTTTATATTCAATGTGTATCAACCCTAGTTTAAGGGTTTTTTATGTTAAGCTATGTATTGTATTTTAAATAAAATAAAAAAAAATGTAAATTATGTGATCAGGCATATGGTCACTGTCTTGAATACTATGCGCTTAATTGTCCACTTATTGAGGAATACAGAGACAGTATAATAACCTATGTGATATGTCAAGATATCTTATTAATGAAAATAAGGTACCAGATATAGTATGCAAGTTTCCTAAATTTGCTTGTAACAGATAAGTGAACTGGGGATATGTAGATATAAACCCATATCTACGGTGGCCTGGTGGCCCGGTGGCCCGGTGGCCTGGTGGGGTGGCCCGGTGGCCTGGTGGCTAAAGCTCCCGCTTCACACACGGAGAGCCCGGGTTCGATTCCCGGCGGGTGGAAACATTTCGACACGTTTCCTTACACCTGTTGTCCTGTTCACCTAGCAGCAAATAGGTACCTGGGTGTTAGTCGACTGGTGTGGGTCGCATCCTGGGGGACAAGATTAAGGACCCCAATGGAAATAAGTTAGACAGTCCTCGATGACGCACCGACTTTCTTGGGTTATCCTGGGTGGCTAACCCTCCGGGGTTAAAAATCCGAACGAAATCCTATCTTATCTTATCTTACACCTGTTAACCCTTATGGGGCCTAGTTCCTAGGCCTTTTGTGTACCCATATGCTCCTTCGCTACCGTGCACAATAAACCAGCCGCTTCGGTGGCAAAATCTAAATCTGACATCCCTGTGGTTCATCTGAGTCTTCAACTTCCAACTGTGACCCCCTTGTTGCTGGGTCCCATCTCTGGAACATCCTGTCTCTGTCCACCTTGTCTATTCCTCTCAGTATTTCATGTCATTATCATATCCTCCCCTATCTCTCCTGTCTTCCCGTGTTGTCAGGTTGTTTGCCCTTAACCTGTCCTCGTAGGACATACCCCTTAGCTCAGGGACTAGTCCTGTTGCAAACCTTTGCTCTTTTTCTAGTTCCCTTACATGCTTGGCTGGGTGAGGGTTCCAAACTGGCGCTGCATACTCCAATATAGGCCTAATGTACACAGTGTATAAGGACCTGAATGACTCCTTCTTAAGATGTCGGAATGCTGTTCTCAGGTTTGCCTGGTGGTGTTTGTATGACAAGTGTTTGCCTAGCGTTGTTTGCTTGGCAGTGTTTGTCTGACGGTATATGCTTGGAGTTTTCATGACAGTGTTTGCCTGGGAGTGTTCTCATAGTCACAACTCCTGTGTTGTTGTTCACAGTTTGTTTACAGACAAGGAACGAGGAATGGTCGTTGAGGATGTACGAGTTACTCTTTTTTGACACATTTTCACATGAAGTCAGCGATGTAAGTGTTAAATAAGCATGTTATTACCACACGAACATGATCTTACTCCTGTAATTACATTATTAATATAGATATTAAGGTTATATTGGTACTGTGTACGCTTTCCAACGTTGGCTAATGTGAGGATCCGGTCTTTTTGAGAAGTCGCTCATTATTTTCTTTTTAAAATGCCAAAAAAATATTCATAATTACGGAGATCCAACCTTTATGTGAGTTTGGCCAAAATTTATTTCTAAAGATGTCCAGTATTTGGTGTATTTGGTCATGAGCGTTGCTTTATGTTGCACAAAAAAAAAAAAACCTAATTCAGTCTAAAAAAAAAAATGCGTAACCTTACCTTAATTCGTATGTGGTAAATATAGGACTGGCGCGCATTTGCATACATTCAGTTGCATGCATTTACATTCAATTCGTCTTTATTTAGATAGGCCAGCAGGCAGCGTTAATACTAACCTGAACTGTGCCAATCTTGGTCGAGTGTGGGCATCTTGCTCTCACCTGAGTATCAGTGGCAAATTTCCCCCATTCACTCTGGTACACTTGTCATCGTCCTATCCTGCCTGCTAGGTGCCTTACAGAAGGGCCACCATTTATCAGCTCCATTTTTCTGCTCTGCGGCTATTTCTGCTGGGGCTTGGCAAGGGGGGTTCACCTGGCCTACTAGGGAACGTCTTGTTTCTGTTTCTATTTGTTAAGTGACTCCTGTCCCCTTTTCTTTCATCTCCCTGGTCTGGGCAGTATCTCTTCTTCATACATCATGAAGCAGGCCTTTGTGCAGCATAAGCTGCCAGTGGCTTGGTTCATAGCACATTCGGCTCATGTACTGAGTGTCTGTGGTTCAATCCCCAGTACAGGTGGACATATTTCCTTATGCCTGCTGCCCCCATTCTCCCAGCAGTAAGTAGATACCTGGGTATTAGTCGACTGTTGTAAGTTGTAATCGGGGGGGGGGGGCAAAATTAAAGGGCCCCAGTGGAAATAAGATAGTCTCTGATGATGCACTGACTATTGGGTTATGCTGGGTGGCTAACCCTCTGGGTTAAAAATCCAAAATCTTATCCTAAGCTGTCAGTGAATCTTACAAACTCAGGAAGGAGATAAATAATAATAATTCTAACTGTTGATTGCCCCCTGTCATGCAGTGTGTCTCAGTATAAATGTATTATTTCCCAAAATAATTTGCACATGAAAAGAAATAAAAATTTGTGTCAGGGCATAGATAACATTATGTATGGTATGTTTATCTTGGAACTTGCATTTCATCAGGGCCAATCAATGTTAGTACAGTACTGAGGCTCCTGACCAATCACAGCGAATGTACACAAACACAAATACAATGTAAATAAAAATGAATAATGTAAAAAAATATGAATGGAATATAAACAGATTCACTGTGGATAAAACAAGGCACATGTACAGCAGTTGGGGATCTTTATTGCTGAGATGCTTTGCCTATTCAGCAGGCTTCTTCAGTCACAATGTGGAAGTGCCTTCAATACTGGAGATACAAAGTGATCAGTCTCTCAGCCCTGAAGAAGTAAGTTTCACAATAAAATAAGTCATGTTAAGCGCTAAACCCATGTGGGCCATTCAGTGCAGGGTGTGGTGGAGGCTCGAACCTCCATCTGCTGAGCACCAGACAGATGCGCTTCCAATTTGGTCTCTCAGCCTTGGTAAGTGTTCATCTCTGTAGTTTGGAGGTAAGTGTTCATCTCCATAGTTTGGAGGTAAGTGTTCATCTCCATAGTTTAGAGGCAAGTGTTCATCTCCGTAGTTTGGAGGTAAGTGTTCATCTCTGTAGTTTGGATCACTAATTGTCCAGTTCCATATCTAGCACTAGCAGAGTCAAGGTAAAGTTGCGTTAGGTTGGGCTTTATTATGTTAGGTTTTGTTTTCAATATTTGTACAACATTAATGATTGTCCATGACAAAGAAACCTAATATTGGTCATTGGACATTGCACGTTGTTGGACGTTCAATGTAGATATCACACCTTAACTGTCAAGGTCCCTCTAAAAGTTAGTCAGGGATCTATTAGTTATTATCCTTATGCTTTAATGCTTACTGATTTATCTGGTAGAGTATATGCTTACTGCACCTCCATTTTTCATTGGGGGGATTTTGCACTGTCTTCCATGCCTTGTATTTTTGTAAGGATTAATCTCAATGTGTAATTAAAGATTCATTCCTCCAGTGCATTCCATATGTAAATTATGATATATGTATCTCCTTCATTCCAGGAATAGAATTCGTTTGAATTGATGTGGACATTGATTTATAAGGGTAATTACTGAGGAAGGGTTGTTGAGGTGGTTCGGACATGTAGAGAGAATGGAGCGAAACAGAATGACTTCAAGAGTGTATCAGTCTGTAGTGGAAGGAAGGCGGGGTAGGGGTTGGCCTAGGAAAGGTTGGAGAGAGGGGGTAAAGGAGGTTTTGTGTGCGAGGGGCTTGGACTTCCAGTTTGATAGGAGTGAATGGAGACAAATGGTTTTTAATACTTGACGTGCTGTTGGAGTGTGAGCAAAGTAACATTTATGAAGGGGTTCAGGGAAACCGGCAGGCCGGACTTGAGTCCTGGAGATGGGAAGTACAGTGCCTGCACTCTGAAGGAGGGGTGTTAATGTTGCAGTTTAAAAACTGTAGTGTAAAGCACCCTTCTGGCAAGACAGTGATGGAGTGAATGATGGTGAAAGTTTTTCTTTTTCGGGCCACCCTGCCTTGGTGGGAATCGGCCAGTGTGATAATAAAAAAAAAAATAATTACTTCAAAGACTGAAATTTCTTTTTCTAAAAAAGACCTTTCAAGGATGCTAAAAATAAGTTAGTTTTTTACATGCAGTCTGTGCATTGTTCACATCATTGGTAAATATGACGCTGTCAAAAAAGTTAGTCAGCATGATGACCTTCCATATATTGTATGCACAGTATGGTATATACCAGTGGTATTCATTGTGCGGCTCGCGATGACTCAATTCACGGCTCTCGAAAAATATATAAATTAATTAATAAAAAAAAAATATATAGGAAAATAATTTTTCAGGTAAGATACATATTTTCATGAGGTGAGATGGAAGACGAAGTCACAATAAGAGATAACATTCTAACATCCCTGCCCTAGTCGTACAGAAATCATATGTGTCCACTACGGGAAACTGATCAGGGACACGTCTAGCTCTAGGCGTCGGTGGTCTCGCTGAATCAGTTGAGTTCAAGCTTTCGGGGGAGACTGGACGTATTTCGTTACTCTTGGAGATTTGTGTTTGAAAATAGGCATCAGATATTTGAGACTGCGGCAACATATATGAAAGTAACGAGTTAACTGTTGCTGCTTGTGGAAGCTAGCTGCGATGGGCTAGTTTTACTTGAAACCAAAGTGCAGTCAAGTAGTGTCCGTTATGATGGATCGATTTGTGGTTAAACAAAAATGCAATAGTGATGAACAGCCATCCCAGACCCGACCAGTAGAAAAGGAGCATTAAGTAAGTTTGGTCTTTATTTTGCTATTAATAACAAGATATGCAGGCTAATATTACCATGTCTAATTTTTCTCATTTACTGTATTGCACTAGCAGCTCAGTACTACTTAATTTAGTTGAGTTATGCTAACTTGCAGTAGCTGCGGCTCTCTCAGTCAATGTGTTTAACCGAAGTGGCTCTCTTGCAAAAATTAGTGAATAACACTGGTATATACAAAAGGCAAAGTATACAATACTGTACTATTTTTTTTACCAGAAAGTGCAGTTGGATTTAGTACAGTTTCCAAGGCCTGTACAAGTGACGGAGGTTCGCGCCATCCCTCTAGGAGCTCGAGTAAAAGCTGATTTTCCAGGTGGAGTGCGTCTTGGGTATGTAATATGGGAGTATTTTTAAGTTTTTCTAGAGCATGAAAGTTTTAAATTGTTTAGGCTAAATTAGTCAAACAAAATTTGTTTCTAAGAAAGGATTTTTAAAGTTATATTAACACAAATTTCATGAATTAAGATTTACAGTAAATACTGCATGGTCAGGCACCTTTTAAGTTCATGTTGAATTTAATGCAATACATATTACCCTTTACAGTGAACTAAATTACCGATATTTCCAGTAATAAATATTCTGGTAATTATTTAAAAATTCAGTACATACAGTATTTTTAAATTTTATAAACTTTGTATACAGTCAAACCTCGGTTTTCATATGCCCTAGTTATTCTCTATAAAATGTATTTTTTGTTAATATTTCCCATAAATAATGTAAATCCATTTAATCCATTCGAGGCACCCAGAAATATTAACTAAAAATACATTTTATAGAGAGTAACTATAGTTTTACATACTAACTAGGGCATACGAAAAACTGAGGTTTGACTGTACTTGAACCCTTAAACTGTCCAAACGTAGATCTACGTTTGCTCACGTAGAGCTTCGAATGTAGATCTACATTTTTTCACATGAGAAAGCATGTAAAATCGAACATAGATCTACGTTCGGAGTGCTACGTGAGCTAACGTAGATCTGTGTTTGGACAGTTTAACCCTTTGACTGTTTCGGTCGTATATATACGTCTTACGAGCCACCGTGTTTGACATGTATATACAGTGGGCCCTCAAAACATGAGAAGTGGTACCCACATGTGATTATGCCGCATACGTACTTTTATCGCAAAATTTATATGCCTGCAAGCAGATTAAAACACTTACCGATTTTCGTCTGGGCGCGTCCATGTTGCCCTCACATTATGCCGCTTTCCCTATTTTTTACAGCCATTCTCGTTGTACATCCATTAACTTGGATTATTTTCGTATATTGGAATCTTTATAGGTGCTGTTTCTTGAAAATAAGTGACATGGCACCCTGAAAAGCTTCTAGTGGGCAACACTGTGGTAAAAAGGGTGAGTAATAGTAGAAAATTATGCAGTTTTGAAAGGTTTCGGGCTAACCTGAACCTATGCCAATTGTGGGAAACCGGTATTTTGCTATTCAAGATTAGGAATGTTGCAGTAGGTGTAACTGCAAACCTTTATAGATGTAAAATTCGACTCTGAAACAAACTGAAGCAAGCATGTGGTGGACTTTCGAATGACAATGTTATGGCCAATAAGAAAATGTCTTGAAGCAAGGGTGTACATTGTTCATTCTGGACCCTATTTGATTGCGCAAGTTTTCAGTGCTTCATGCGTCTAAATGGCATTAAAGAATAGGGAGTACCGAAAATGGAAATGGGCACTTCAGTACTCATGCGATAGAAAAAATTCCAGTTCTAAAACATAGAAGATATGGTCGACCTGAACTTCCCAATCCCATCAAATGCAGATCTCATTAAAAGTCGAGTGTCATGTAATTGTGGCAGCCGTTTTTCAGTTTGTCTGTATTAAAATTAACATTTCATGTGGTAAAAAAAAATTTTTTTCATACTTTTGGGCGTCTTGCACGGATTAATTTTATTTCCATTATTTCTTATGGGGAAAATTCATTCGCATAACGATTATTTCGCATAACGATTATTTCGCATAACGATTATCCCTCTTGCACGGATTAAAATCGTTAACCGGGGGTCCACTGTACTCATAAATTCTAGCGGCTTCAAATCGAGCAGGAGAAAGCTGGTAGGCCCACATGTGAGAGAATGGGTCTGTGTGGTCATTCTGCACCATATAAAAAAATCCTGCAGCAAGCAGTTCATAATGAGAAAAAAAAACTCTGACCGTATTTTTTTTAATTAAAATGCCTACTTTGTGGTCTATTTTTGTATAGTATTTATGGTTGTATTCTCATTTTCTTGGTCTCATTTGATAGAATGGAAAACATATTATAGAAATAGAGGTGATTTTGATTGATTTTACTATGAAAAGAACCTTGAAATGGAGCTCAAAGTAGGGGAAATGTTTGATTTTTGTGATGTTCAAAAGTAAACAAATGATGTCATTTTCCAATAAATGTCCAACTAGCCATTCTAATATGCAGTCATGAATGGGTTAACATTATTTATACAATTATTACAATATTGCAGTAGTCTGTATAACAGTAAATCTTCTATTTTTTGTTTGATTATAAAATTCAAAATAGAAAGCATGAGTAATATCAGAGGGGCCTGGAGACATGACTGATGAACAAAGAAAATGTTATTTTAGAGCCAGGAATGTCTGCATTGTTCATTCTGGACCCTATTTTGAAATTGTCATATTTTTTAATTTTCATGAAATTGGCAAAATTGCAAATTTCTGACCATGTTATTGGGTAGTTGAAATTGGTAAATGGGCAGTTTCTTGTACTCAGTCGATAGAAAAAAATGGAGTTCTAAAGAAATAGCTATGAGTTTGGTCGACTGGAACAATGGAATTAGCCGAAAATAGGGCTCAAAGTGGGCGAAATCGCTGATTCATAAATATCGCCGAGGTCACTAACTTCGCGAGAGCGTAATTACATCGGTTTTCCATCAAATTTTGTTCTTTTAGCATCATTACAATTGGGAAAAGATTCTCTATCATTTCATAAGAAAAAAATAATTTTTTTTTCGGAAATTTTGCAACACCAGGAGACCCCTCAGGATTTGGGGTTGCGACAGTCAAGGGGTTAAAGTTACCAATTTCTTTTCTGAACTGGACAAAAAGTTAAATTTTGTTGACTAGTGTAATTTTTTTATTACTGTATTTCTAATATAAATACCTAGCAGTCCAGTGAAGTACTGTTGAGATAAAGGGTTTTTAGTACAATAATCCCTCACTCAACAACAGAGATGTTTAATAGAATAGTTGTTCATAGGCAAAATTTTAAAATGAAACCTATTTTCCCATAGATTACATTATTTAATGGTAGTTGTATTTCTGGATTTTTTTTTTTTTACTATGCTTTTTCAGTTAAATTTTGTTTATTATAATTCCAGTACACATACATTACAGTGGAACCTCGGTGATTAAATTGCTCCCTACTTGAACATTTCGGTATTAGAACGCTTTGTTCATTAAAGAATCGCTCGGTAGTCGACTGTTTGCTTGGCACTCGACCAAACAAACACGACCTGCCAGAACTTTACTGTAAATTATTTCGTGTTTCTTCACATTTTTGGGTGTTTTTTTTTTTATATTGTATAAATAAGTTACCATAGGGCCTATGAAGATTAGTGATAACAGCCAACCAAAAAGAAAATTGGTTGGGAAAAATTTGTTCTGTACTTGAACAGATTGGCACTCGAACAGCTTTCTGAAATTAATTAAGTTCGAGTACCAAGGATCTACTGTACTTTTCTAATGTAATTTAGTTTATTTGTTTGTCCTTTTGAATCATGACTTAATTGTTTTTATTATTCTTTAACCCTTTGAGTGTCGACAGGCCCTCTCCGAGACACGTTCTCAGGGTCGGCTAAATTTAAAAATAAAAAAAAAAAAATTTTTCTAATGAAAAGATAGAGAATCTTTTCCCGATCATAATGACACCAAAAATATGAAATTTGATGGAAAACTTATGGAATTATGCTCTCGCGAAGTTAGCGGTCTCGGCGATGTTTACGGATCAGCGATTTTGCCCACTTTGAGCCCCATTTTCGGCCAGTTCCGCTGTACTAGTCGACAAAAAACATGAATATTTCACTAGAACTCCATTTTTTCCATTGAATGAGTGCAAGAAACCACCCATTTACCAATTTCAACTATCCAATACAGTGGTCAGAATTTAGCAATTTTGCCAATTTCACACAAATTTCAAAAGATGCCAATTTCCGAATAGGGTCCAGAACAAACAAGAAATACATTCCTGACACTAAAATGACATTTCCTCTGTTCATTAGTCACGTCTCAAGGCCCCTCTTACATTCTTTTGCTTTCCACTTTGAATTTTTATTCTCAAAAAATAGAAGATTTACTGTTATGCAGACTACTGCATTAGTGTAAAAAATGGTGTGAATCATATTGGCACACTTGCAAAAGAATATTAGACTCACCAGTTGACGTGTATTGGACGCTTGGCATGATTTGTTTACTTTTGAACTTTGGTAAAAATCAAACATTTCTGCTAATTTGAGCTCAATTTCAAGGTACTTTTCATTGTAAAACCAGTCAAAATCATCTCAATTTCTGTGATATGCCTTCTATTCTATAAAATGAGACCAAGAAAACTAGAATACAGCAATAAATACCATACGAAAATACAGTGCAAAGTTGCTGTTTTATTCCAAAAAGCGGTCGAAGTTTTTTTTTTCTCATTATGCACTGTGTGCTGCAGGATTCTTTTTATACCATGCACACTGACCACATAGACCCATTCTTTCATATGGAGGCCTACCAGCTTTCTCTCACTAGATTTGTGGGCGCTAGAATTTAGGCGTACTAGTACGTCAAAAACCCTGGGTCGTAAGCCGTACTAGTACGTCCGAAACCCTCAAAGGGTTAACATACAGTGGAACCTTGGTACTTGAACAGCTCCCTACTCGAACAATTTGGTATTCGAACGCTTTGTTCGGTAAAAAAAATTGCTCGGTAGCCAACTGTTTGCTCGGCACTCGACCAAACAAACACAACCTGCCAGAACTTCGATGTAAACAATTTCATATTTCTTTACATTTTTTTTCTTTTTTATATTGTATAAATAAGTTTCCATGGGACCTACTAAGATTAGTGATAACAGACAACCAAAAAGAAAATTGGTTGGGAAAAATTCGTTCGGTATTTGAACAGATTGGCACTTGAACAGCCTTCTGGAATGAATTAAGTTCGAGTACCAAGTTCCACTGTAATTTAAACAGATGTATGAATTTTTCATACAGTACATAATTTTCTGAAAAAAAAACTCAGGATGGGGATGCATGAATATAACTTGCCATATCTCGTATTCAATTTTCAGTGCAACAAATCCAAGTCAGTTTGAAATAGAGTTCTTCGTCAATGACCTTAGCAAGAGAGGAGCAGGTACATTTGAAAGTGTTGGCTGTCTGCAGTATAATCAACATGGAAAAATACACATGGACTTTGAAAAAAAGGTATAGTACTGTGATTTTTTTAATACAGTTATACTCCTGAGGAGGGGTAGCTGAGGTGATTTGATCATTTAGAGAGGATGGAGCAAAATGGGATGACTTTGAGGGTGTATAAATCTGTAGTAGAGGGAAGGTGGGGTAGGGTTGTCCTAGGAAGGGATGGCATGAGGTGGGTAAAGGAGGTTTTGTATGCAAGGGGCCTTGACATACAGCAGGCACGTAAATGTGTTAGAGACGATTGAGTGAAGACAAATGGTTTTTGCTACTTGACAAGCTGTTGGAGTGTTAATTTGTGAAAGGATTCAGGGAAACTGGTTAGCCAGACTTGAGTCCTGAAGGTGGGAAGTACAATGCCTGCACTCTAAAGGTGGGATTTGGAATATTTGCTGTTCAGTGTGACATCTAAACTGTTGTATCTGCACTACTCGGGCAAGACAGTGATAGTATGAATGATGGTGAAAGGGTTTCTTTTTTGGGTCACCTGGCCTCGGTGGGAGATGGCCAGCACTTTAAAAAATAAAATGCTGGTTGAATATTCCTTATCTGAAATTCCAGAATTTGAAAAGCTGCAAAATCCGAAACTTTTTTCAAGGACCAACATAACGTTACAAATAGAAATTTTCAGTCTGCTCTGGAGAGGTGCCTAGGCATTGTGTACCCAGACAGTTGCAACACATGACCTCACATACCCTGGGTGGAGCATTGATGCTTTGTTAGAGTCCGTTTGTTATCAGCTGTTGTCACCAGACTTTTGTGCATTACTCACTTGGATTACTTTGTGTTTTGTGTTTATTCTCTGCTTTGTGGTGGGAAGATATTGAGGAAAATGTCAAAAAGGCCTACAGATACCCCTATAGGTAACAGTGATAAGAAAAAAAAAAACAGTGTACAGTAGCCTTTTAAGCCAAGCACAGCTTTGTAGTTGAAGACTGAAAGGCTGCTTTTGTTCATTGTTGTTTTTTTTAACAGCTGATGCAGGTAAAGGAGGTTTTGTGGGCGAGGGGCTTGGACTTCCAGCAAGCGTGCATGAGCGTGTTAGATAGGAGTGAATGGAGACAAATGGTATTTGGGACCTGACGAGCTGTTGGAGTGTGAGCAGGGTAATATTTAGTGAAGGGATTCAGGGAGACCGGTTATTGTATATAGCCAGACTTGAGTCCTGGAAATGGGAAGTACAGTGCCTGCACTTTAAAGGAGGGGTTTGGGATATTGGCAGTTTGGAGGGATATGTTGTGTATCTTTATACGTACAGTATATACTACGTTCTTCTAAACTGTTGTATTCTGAGCACCTCTGCAAAAATATTGATTGTGTGTGAGTGAGGTGAAAGTGTTGAATGATGATGAAAGTATTTTCTTTTTGGGTCACCCTGCCTCGGTGGAAGACGGCTGACTTGTTAGAAAAAAAAAATAATAATATATTTACTACAAGTACATGTACAAGGTATACATACAGGCCTAGCTGACATCAATGACATACTGTACTACTATATTGAAAGCCCCTTGTTATGCAGAGCATTTTGGGCAAATTAGGTCAGTGTCCCAGGATGCGACCCACACCAGCCGACTAACACCCAGGAACCCATTTACTGATGGGTGAACATAGACAACAGGTGTAAAGAAACACGCCCAATGTTTCTACTCTGGATGGGAATCGAACTCAGACCCTCACTGCGTGAAGCGAGAGCTTTAGCTACCAGGCCACCAAAGCATAAAACTACCTTCAGGCTATATGTATAAGCTGTATATGAAATATAAATGGATTTCATGTTTAGAATTGGGTTCCATCCCCACGCTATCTCATTATATTCCAAAATCTAAAAAATTCTGAAATCCAAACACATATGCTGAAAGTTAAAAAAGAATTAGAATGACAACACTACATATCTGTAGGCTCCATAAATGTGAGCTGTACACCATTTTAGTTAAATTTTTTTAGGCAGAATAAAATCTAAGTGGAAGAAAAAAAGAGCCTGATTTCAGTATTTTCATCACTTAGGTGAATAAATTGGAAATAAGTTTTTCAAGAAATAGCTTTAAAAATTTGTAAATATAAAATTACATATGCAGAAAGGATTTTGGGAAATCATAGTATTATTGTAAAGTACAGCATTATGTATGTTATAGCTAAATATCAGGCCATTTGAATAGTAAATAGAGTTATGATTTTTTATTATATCCATTTTTTACATTGCTTCAATTTTTTCCCAAGTCTGAACTTTATTCACCTGGCTTCTTGTATAATAATAATTTTTACTATGTGCATGTAGATATATGAAATCAGAAGATGCAGATACTCATAACCAATTCATAGGAAGTTAAGTTTTATACATACAGTAGGGCCCCACTTATTTGGCAGATTAGGTTCCAGGCTACTGCTGGAAAGCAGACTTCACCGGAAAGCAGAACTCCATTTTTTCCATTTATAAATGCATATAAATGCCAGATAGCAAGTTTACACTAACATATTTTAAGTTAACAATAGAACTAGGCATTAAAACGTAAAATACACACACAATACACTCATTATTTACCTCAAAATATTTGTAGTCTTAATGTAGGACAAAAGGTGAATAGTATTTACTCTAAGAAGTCAGGTGTGGTAGCCCTCCTGGCCACCCCACCCACACATATTATACAACAATGCTTAAAGCTCCCTAGAGCGATAAAATACATATACAGTACACGTATTACTTACCTTAAAATATTTGTAGTCTTAGTGGTCTTAATGTAGGGTGAGAGGTGACAAGTATTTATTTGTAGAAAGTTGTGTGGGAGGTATGGCATCCTGCCTGGCCACTTATACCTACTATGACATTAAACTCCCTAGAGTGATAAAATGCATATATAGTACACTCATTAAACCATACCCCCGGCCGGGTATGGTTTGTTTGCAATCGTGTCATTACGATTTCTTGAGACACTCATTAATTACCTTAAAATATTTGTAGTCATAATGTAGGGTGAGAGGTTAGTTTTATTTGTATGAAGTTAAGTTGGGAAGTATGGGTAGCCAGGAAGGGCAGCCCTCCCAACCCCACCCACACATAATGTAAACAAACCAGATGAACGCGTCTGGTTTTCGTCACTTTACATTGTGTACAAGTTGTCTCCATGTTGATACAGTAGAATAAATAAAGAGAAACACTCCCATTCTCATGTAACACCATTTTTAGAAGAAATAGCACCCTGAGTGAAGGCATATGAAAGGAATAATTTTCTAGTTACCCCCAGTAATATTATAGTGACACATTTACTCTGATGTTGGACTACAAGTTGCCTGGCTACCACAAGCCCTAAAAGTTACCTGGCTACCACAAGTCCTACAAGTTCCTGGCTACCACAAGTCCTAAAAAGTTACCTGGCTACCACAAGTCCTACAAGTTGCCTGGCTACCACAAGTCCTACAAGTTGCCTGGCTACCACAAGTCCTACAAGTTGCCTGGCTACCACAAGTCCTACAAGTTGCCTGGCTACCACAAGTCCTACAAGTTGCCTGGCTACCACAAGTCCTAAAAAGTTGCCTGGCTACCACAAGTCCTACAAGTTGCCTGACTACCACAAGTCCTACAAGTTGCCTGGCTACCACAAGTCCTACAAGTTGCCTGGCTACCACAAGTCCTACAAGTTACCTGCCTACCACAAGTCCTACAAGTTGCCTGGCTACCACAAGTCCTACAAGTTGCCTGACTACCACAAGTCCTAAAAGTTACCTGGCTACCACAAGTCCTACAAGTTGCCTGGCTACCACAAGTCCTACAAGTTGCCTGCCTACCACGAGTCTACAAGTTGCCTGCCTACCACAAGTCCTTACAGGTTGCCTGCCTTACCACAAGGTCCTACAAGTTGCCTTCTACCACAGTCTTCTACAAGTTGGCCTGCTACCACAAGTCCTACAAGTTGCCTGCCCTACCACAAGTCCTACAAGTTGCCTGGCTACCACAAGTCCTACAAGTCGCTTGGGCTACTGCAAAATGTCTATACGTATTAACGTTTTTAAGATATTTAATCTCCTTAGAGTGTTTTTATTGTGTTATTATTTATTTTCATTAGTAATATGGCTTCTTCAGACTAATAAGGACACTCTTAGTGATTTTAAGGTGTACCTGCATGCCAACACAGTGTGTATGTTTACTTAGGTAAGGTACACATACAGAATTATCAGTTGTAATAATAATGAAGATGAAGTCCACCTGGGCTACATACCTACACCTACCTACATAGCTACACAATTTTAATGTGGGCCCGAGCCATTATTATTAGCATCGACATACCATGTTCACTGAGTTTAATCGTCTTCTATCAACTACTTAAGATGCCAGCTTAAACAAATGGAGAAGTAATGTAATTAATCAAACCGAGAATTGAAAACAAAGGCTTTTTGTATTAAGGGGAGTGACGTATGTTTTTCCCTACGCCCGGCTTACCACACCTACTTAGTATATAAATAAAATGTTTGTGTTATGTAATGTGTTTTTATATAATTTTGAAGAAAATATAATAGATGATTAACGAAAATGTCTATGTTAGTAAAATAAGACATGTGATGAATATATGCCAAGAGTGAATATTATAGTATTACGTAATGTTTTCCCTCCACCTGGCAACCACACCTCCATAGCATATAAACAGTTTGCTGTTTATATGCATATGTAACATGTTTCTTATATAATTTTGAAGAAAACATCATAGATGATTAATGAAAATGTCTATAATTGACGTAAAATGACATTTTAATGTGCCACAAAGAGTGATTATTATTACATAATAGAGGAAATGTGCTCATGGAAATGTAAACAAACTGGGTGGCAGGCATCTTAATTTGAAAGACCACATGCCATATAGAAATTTTGATCATAATTTGAGATCCGCCATATTAGCGAACGCCGAAAAAGCAGGGCCCTACTGTTTATCTGTAGTGTATAAATGTTTCATTAATTTTGGTTTAAGTGTAAGTTCATTTTACAACATTTTACAAAACACATTTGGCTTAAAAATTAGTTAAC